AAAGGTTATGAGCACACAGAGGGACGCATCCGCGCATACACACATGCCTGTCAGCCTGAAGACGCTTGTCCCTGGCGCATCGAAACGTGCTTCTGGTATGGCCTTTTCTGCCAAAATGACCAAGGAATAAAGATCGGACAAAGATCACTCTAAACATTCTACCTACAACTATCCAACGTAAACAATAAAGAATTAGCATACATTACGGCGTGAGTTAACAAGGGTAGCACTTGAATTGCATATAGCCTGGTTCGACAAACATGATACGGCCTTTCATTTTCTCGTGTGGGAGGAACACAACCACTCTTCCAGGCAATCCTACAAATAGATCTGTTACTCGTTTAGGATAAGAACTAGAGGCAGAGTTAAGCTAGAAAAAGAGCATTAAGAAATCAGAGATGTTCTCCGGCAACTTCAATGAAGCATTACTTTCGGAACCCAGAATTTTTGCACAGTAGTAATTTTAGGCCAAAGTAGAACGGGAGATGATAAAAAACACATCAATAAAGGATACCAAAACACACCTTGAAAAATAACTTTTCTACGACTAATCTGAATACAGTCTACCTAGCAGCCGCATAAGGATCTGATGGAAAAAATAGCTTCGTATCTTTGGAGCTCTAATCATAAATTCGACCGAGATATTTTGTCCATGCCTTTCTCAAATTTTTTATCATGGCAGGCATAAACCTCGGCAGATTTTCAGCATTTCTGCTGGCATAGCGGAAAAAACAATCTGATACACGGTACTGGGGCAGGTACGAAAACTACATCTTCGCTTCGAATCTTCTGGTCTGTCATATCTCGGCATTCTATTCTCAGCATTTTGTGTAAAACACCGAGGAGGCTGATCAGAGATGCATCAGTAGTTCCTGCAGTCTCTTTAACAATCACTGTTGTCGAACTGGTACAACTGCCCCAAAGTATCACTGCTTTGCGGCTTTTCCACAACTCCATGCTACAGCAATAAGCCTTAGTCGAAATACGAACATGATTCAAACTTTTTACCACCTCGATTTAAATTTTGCCTTTCCCGTTGAATTTTCAGTGATCTCTGTTGTCACTTCAACCACAGTACTTCACTGCAATGCTTCGAAAATATTGTCATAACTGAAGAAAATATCTAAGAAATCCCTGATGGTGTGGAATTCGAGGTGGAAATACTTTCATCCGAACTTATCACAGATGAGGCCATTCAGCAGAAGTTCTTTATAACTTTACAAGGTCTACTGAACAACATGAAATAAACGGGACTGCAGATCTGTATAGTACATAAGCATGGAAATTTCCCACCACGAATGTGAATTCTACGTCAATTACCAATCTCAAAACCGAGTTGCCTTGCTCCGGGAAAGAACTGCAGTGTGATTCTAAACTGGGTGCACACACCTGCACCAGAACCAGCGCACGTTACAGTCTGAGCTTCATTACACAAATGCTTTAAATAGAGTCAGTCACTGCCGTTGTACCATCGCCATCTAAGATTAACAAAGCTTAAACAGCACAGTAATGCAGATCTGAGATGTCTGACCTTTAGAAACGGTGCTACAAAATGATGTTAGACAATATTCAGTGCCGCGACAAAGATGATATTCCTGCTCGCAAGCAGTTCTGTCTCTACGCAACGTTTCCATATTTTGTATTGCGGGAGCCAGCCAACAACAGTCACTTAGCAGGAAATTCGTCCGCATCGTCACCCAACATGTAGTGACATACACAGATCAACTGTAAAGCTTCGACATTTGCATCCGAAAGCTAACGTT